GGCTGAAGCAGCTGTCCTCTTTTTCGGAGCCGAGAGCTCGTGACCACATTAGTTCTGCGTTTTGGCCTTGATGTGCAAATCGAATGTAAATTGTGGGAATAAAATATGCTAATGCCTTGTAAAAAGGACGGGAATATGTACATCGGAAGGGATTAGACATGAATTCGAGAACTTTTTTTTTGTCACCGGGGATTAGATCTGTGGTTATGAGGTTGTGTGAATGAAGTGTTGGTTTCAGCCACGTTTTTCTGGAAAGAAGACTCAGTCCCCCCTGGAAGCAGCCTCCTTATTTGGGACACGTACCACCTCCAAACTGCAGTGACAGCTGCTGACTCCCCGTGTGTGTGTGTGTGTGTGTGTGTGTGTGTCTGTGTGTGTCTGTGTGTGTGTCTATATGTGGCTTCACTTTCTTTTTTTTGCCCCCTATAGATTCCTGCCTCTTCCATTCAGGAGTCCCTATCTTCCACGATGCCCTGAAAGTAAGCTTATCAGTTTTTCTTTTTCTTTTTTAAAAGAGAGAAAAAAGGAAAAAATGCCGCAGTCCATGACGCTGTTTTGGGGTCTGTTTTCAGGGCTGGTCCTGCTGTAAGAAGAGGACAACAGATTTCTCCGAATTTCTCTCCATCAAGGTATCGGCTCAGGGTCAGAACACTTCCAAATGACCGGGGGTGCGAGGAGGTGAACGAGAGGCTCCGGCGATAGATCAGCGGGAGTGGGAACGGTGTGAAAATATTCAGCTCCTTTGATGAAAATTTAATCAAGTGGAAGGGGAAACGGTTTTGCATGCCGAATTGGGGCTGCGGGAGACCAGTATCGGATTCCCTACCGATACCTAGCAAAGCCGTAGTAATGGACAGAGAGCTTAGCGGTATACACACACACAGCTGGACGTTTGGCTGGACGGTGCTTATCTCGCAAATGTCTGTGCATCTGAATTATTGACCGTGCCCACCATGGGTCTCAGTATTCCGATGACCGCATCCCAACAGGCCGCAGGTTCGAGGGTGGAGGCCTCGTTACGACTTTCGCTGCTTAGACTTAGATCGCCACCGGATGTTAACGTAAATGTGCCTACACAGCGTTTTTTTCTAGTCGAACTGACTCCTCAAAGCACACATTCACACGGTTGCACACCAGTAGGCACACCAGATGCAACTGTAGGCCACTTGGGGTCCATCCCCTAGGACTCTTTGACATGTGGCCTTGAGGAAAATGGATTTGAACCCATGACCTTCCTGATCGGTGGGCACTTTCTCTTCCCTCCGGAGCCACAGCCTCCATGTGTTACGGTTACCCGGTGTGACTCTGATGCTCCCGCCGCAGGGCTGCACCCGCGGGCTCCACAGCAGCGTGAAGCCGCAGGAGCCCCTGAGGCCGGAGGTGTCCTCGGATAAGGAGAAGGCCAAACCCGGCGGGGACCAGGAGATCATCTACCAGGGCCCCAAATCCGCCGAGGCGCTGCAGAAAGAGAGACCCAGGTGCGAGCGGGGTCCCGCCCCGGGCTTCCCTCATATCCCCGTCCCTCGGTTTTTCTAATCGGCGCCGACTAAGCGGAATTTGTCAGTTTGCGTACACGTAACCGTGCTGAACTTGGCCGTCTGTTTGTTCAGCTCGGTCCAGCTAGAAGTGGCCCTGTTCTCGTCTCTTCCTTTGTACCGTCGTATTTTACCTCCGCGTTGTGTTTTGTTAATGATGGCCACGAGACAGAATGTGTTGAACGACGCCTTTAATCAGCGTGGAACAGAATATGGACTGGTCAAATATGGCTCTTCAAACTGGCAACCGCACCTCTCGCGCCCGTCTCGCATATAATGGCCAAAAACTATACATTTATATTTAAAAGAAAGATATTAAAATAAAATAAATACCTGCGTGGAACAGAATATGGACTGGTCAAATATGGCTCTTCAAACTGGCAACCGCACCTCTACGAGGAATAGCATTAGCGATTAGCATCAAGCTAATTATTCATTCGCATTAAGCTAGCTGTTAAATTCCAAACACATTGATTTAGCACGGTGTTATAACAATAGAAAATGTACGTCGTACTTCATTTGTCATCCATACATCCAGCTAAGGCTCATATAATTGACAATGGCTTATAAAACACCGTACTTAATCATTGTGCTAACAGCGAAGAACTCACCTCGCGCCCGTCTCGCATATAATGGCGACGAGGTAGCTGGGCACACTGTACTTATCGCGACCGACCACCAAGAGATTCAGAAATGAAAAATAATGACAAGTGGAATCATAACAAATTAAACCCGTTACATACACATTCCCCCACATTTCATTCAGAGAGGTCGGCCTGGAATGAATCATGCAGAGGATCCCTCTGAATGATCTGAGCTCTGATTTATTTGATTTTTTTTGCTTTTTGTGACCAATGTTTGTGTGTCTTTGCGTGCGTGTGTGCAGCGCGGATGAGCCCATGACCAAGCTGCCGCACAAGGTGTCGGCGTCGCTGACCCAGGTGCTGGAGAAACTGGACATCAGCCGCAAAGCCGAGAACCAAAAGAAAGGTCAGACCTCCGCCGCCTCCTCTGGCACCTCCACCGCTTAAAAGTCAAAATAATACTCATTTCTCATCAAGTTTCAATCACAACACATCTTCCTTTGAGAATGGAAGGGTGTGGGAGGACTCTAGAGTCCATTATGTGTGCATGTAGACTATGTGCTAATGAGCCAGAGTTCTGCTACACATTAACATGAACTCTTTAATAATAAAAGAATATAAAAAAAAAAACACCTTCATGTCAAACAATACAGAATCCGATAACTCCCTAATGATTTTTGCATTGATTTCTGCTCTCTTTACTATTTCCTGAATGAAGTCAGTGTTGGAGTTCTCTGAAAGTCATTGATTTTATTTGACTTTAAAAGCCGGAGCTTTGTGGCTTTTAATTAAAATGTTTTTTAGAAAACAAGATCTTTTGTGTATGAAATAGTAATAATAATTGATTCTGCCATGCTACATTGTTAGATTTGGAAACATTCATGTTTGTAACGGAGTAGGATCTAAGTTTTAATGAGCTACGGGACAATACTTTGGCCTGGCAGAGGTTCCTGGTTCGAATCCCGTCAGTGGTTCTTCTGTGTGCATGCGGGGGTTTTCCGGCTCACTCCCACCTTCCAAAAACATGCACAATGACTCTAAAATAACCCTAGGAGTGATTGTGAGCCAGCATTGTTGTTTGTTTCTGATGGATTGGTGACATTTATAGGGTGCAACTCACCTCTTGCTCAGTCCCACACACACACACACACACACACACACACTGGGGCCTTAATTAGATAAAAAATGGATGATTTTCACATATCAACCTGTACAAGTTCCTTTTTTTGTGTTTGCATATACAGTGGGGGAAATAAGTATTTGACCCCTTGCTGATTTAGCAGGTTTGCCCACTTACAAAGAATGCAACGATCTATAACTTTAATCATATGTACATTCTAACAGTGAGAGACAGAATCCCAAAGAAAATTCAAGAAAATCAAATCATATGAATTTATAAAAATTGATAACCATCTGATGAAGAAAAAGAAGCATTCTTTGTAAGTGGGCAAACCTGCAAAATCAGCAAGGGGTCAAATACTTATTTCCCCCACTGTATATGCGTGTAGGTTCAAACTAAATATTTGATGCATAAGTCAGCAGTTAAAAAATATTTTGCTATCCATTTCAATGTGTACAGCTTGAGTCCAGTCAGCAAGTCCAAGCGTCCTGACCCACCTTATGTATTAATAATCATTTTACACTGTGACTGAAACCACTGTGGTGAGACAACAAGGTTGCTTTTAAGATGATCTTGATAACCGTCCCTCTATTGTGGATATTTCCTGTCTGTGTTCACCAGTGCATTATAAATGGATTTGCTGATTTTTGCGGGAATGACACAAACCTCTGTCCTCTCCAACAGAGAGTCAGACGGTCATGCAAGGGACTCGCTGCAAGAATGCAGGCTGCAAAACGGTGAGTCTGCTTCAGTGTGTGTGTGTGTGTGTGTGTGTGTGTGTGTGTGTTCAGGTCGCTTCTGAGACATTTCTATTGTGGCCTTAAATGAAAGCAGAAAAAACAAACTGCAGAGGGTTGTAAACGTTACATTAAGACTGAAATGACTCCAGTCTGATTCCAGTCAAGTAACAGTTGTTTCTCAAAGTTAAAAAGCCTATCACAGGTTTCAATCTAAACTTTGGAGAGCACGAAAAACTTCCAATTGGACCACAGCCCGAACAAGTCTTCAAAGTAAATGTCACTTGTTGTATTACTTAGTAGCTGCCGGTTAAGGCTAGAAAAGAAATGTCTTCCAAAGAAATTTATTTCAAAGTTGAATATTGAAGCCCCTCAAATGGCCATTTAATGGTTTGTGAGGTCCTCAGAAAGCAGCCTGAACAGGTGCGCGCACACACACACACACACACACACACACACACACTGTTCCTGGCCCATTCTACTAACCCTATCCATCCCAACTGGTTGCACGCCACAATATCTTTATTCTTAAGTCTGGGCTTTTCTGTTGGTCCCCACAAAACCCAGTGAACCCAAATCGTAAAGTGGGTCTGGCTTTTTAGACCATGGGAAAAACAGTCAGGAAAACACACCCACACCACAGCACACACATGCTGTGCTTTTGTTTAAATGCAGTTCTCATTTCCACTAGCTTTGTAAAGTTTTATGGGAGCTCCATCTTGTGGACAAAGCAGGTAACAACATCTCAAGTCAATTTCTAGTGTTTTTCTCCCTTTTAACACTTTTACAGGACTTTTACGCTGGTTACATATTTAATAAACACTTATGCTTCACATAAATGTTCTGATCAGTGCACCTCATTTCAACCTCTAACAATATGTTGGAATTTGGAACACTGTTGCCTTGAAAAGAAACAGCAATGCCAATTTAGTTGAGATGTGTATTTTAAACAGATTGAAGTCCAAATGCATGGGTTCTTTAAAGTTGTAATAGTTAATGTATTTAATTAGAGATGAGTAAGCAACACCCAAAATGTCCTTTTCAATGTAACTAAATAAGCATATGTAAAATCATTTAAATTTTCATTGTCCAGGATGCATGGTATGGGCTCCAGCCCCTTTCTGAGCCGGTTATCAGGGGTTCCAAATAAGAAACTCAATCCACTTATGCAAAACTAATGCCTGCACCGAATCCATTTAAACACACTTTTAGACTGGTGACCTTATCATACATGATCTTTATTGACCGGGTGATATTTAAACGCGGGTCATTAGCATATTCTCTGTGTGTTTAGGTCTATCAAGGTCCAGAGACGGACGTGGAGGTCTGCACCCACCACCCAGGAGCCCCTGTCTTCCATGAAGGGTAAGACCAAAAACTTTACCGTTGCACGTTTCCTTTTTGTTTACCAAGCGCACAACAAAGACCTAAATCCAATCAGACGACACGGCATTTGGAATCTCTATTTGCTCTGTTTATCGTTCAAACAATAATTAGTTGCATCATATAAAAGAAGGATGTTGGCAAAACAAAAAGGGGAAGACATGTGAGGCTAAATGTAAATCAGATAAGATCAGAGGGATATTTAAGAAGGTAATTAGGACAAATCTGCAACGTGAGAAACAGACTTCACGTGCAAATTTACACCCAGTTACAATAACGCCAAGATTTTTACTTCCTGATCCCTGGATTACTCTGGTGCTACAGACAGAGACGGTTTCTTTCTTTTCTTCAGGTATAAATACTGGAGCTGCTGCTGCATCAAGACAACAGACTTCAATGCTTTCCTGGACCAGAAGGGCTGCACGACGGGAAAGCACCGCTGGGTTCCAAAGCAGGTAGGGCCACCACCCGGAGAGCACACCGCGTCAGCAAAAAGGACTTCAAGGACTGCTTCACATTTGGTCGGCAGAGAGTAGCTCTCAGGGGCAGAATGAGCGTCCCACGAATGACTCCCTTTGAAGTGGCAGTTATTGGACTCTTAAAAAGAAAAAAAACCTAGACAAAGAAGGTTTTTTTTCATAAGATCACTTCTGTGAAGGAAACCCTTGTGGACATTTGATGTGGAAAGATGTTGAGAGGAAGTTCTATTGCTTTTTAAAGAGATAAGATATCCCTCAAATGTGTTTGCTGTTTCCCTCAAATATATATCTTCTGGATTTACATCCATTTGCACGCGTGTGTGTGTGTGTGTGTGTGTTTCCAGGACAAGAAGAAGGTGGCGTGTCGACACGACTGGCATCAAACTGGAAACAATGTGGTCGTTACAATTTATGCCAAGAATTCAAACCCTGAATTTAGCTGCATAGAGGCCAACCGGACAGTGGTGAGTAACACGGTTTATACGACACTGGAAGGAAAAATGAGCCCTCAGTCTAGAGAGATTGAACGAGGAGATTTTATTGTTCCAAAGCATAACTTTTGGCCATATTAAAAAAAACATTAAGTCAATATACTTACTTTTTACAGATGATGCCTTGTTATAACAATAAATCCTGTTACTGTAGCTTCCATAAAATGAGTTAAATTAGAGCATGAGGCACATAACCGTTAAATAAAGTTAACATTAGTAAGAGATTTATAGTTAGCTTAATGAATGGTCCTGGTGTCAGTTAAAAAAAGTCCATTTTGAATTCCACATGTGAAGTCTTTAATGTTTAACATCAATAACTAGCATCACAAAGAGTAAAAATTGAAGATTAATTGCAAAAGAAGATTATTCTTTATGCTCATTTGTGTTTGAATGTTAACTGAAACATGTTAGAGCCTACATAGATTTAATTTTGAATTACGTAAAAATAAATGTTTTTAGTTAAGAACTTAGAGTAACTTAACTTAAAGTAACCCTTGGTTCATCATCTTATCACCTTTGCCTTTAAAAAAAAAAAGCTATATCTCAGTTCTTTTTAGGTGAATTAATCTTTTTAAGGTGAATTAATCTAATCACACTATACTATCAAGCAGAATGTTGTCTTAAAATATTTAAAGGTCTTTATTTTTTTAACCTGTATTCTTCTGCTGTCATTTCCCCCCTTAGCTTTCGTGTCAAATCCAATTTGAAAATAATATTTTCAAGAGGGACTTCCACCTCTGGGGGGTGAGTATTACACACTTCCAAAGAAAGACCTACTTGTAAAATTCTATGTCTTTTAACTTTCCTGTTGCCGTTCACCGTTGCTTCAAAGCACATAAATCCACCTCCATCCATCCAGCCATCCATCTTTACACCTATCTATTTTAAGTCAGGTTGGTGGAGGGACTGGATCCTATCCTTCCCATGGTATTCCTAAGATCCTGGGCCGGTCTTAGGAATACCATGGGAAACATATTTTCCAGCTACATTTTTTAAACATGGCATCTTATCCAAACAGGGAAGAAGAGATGATAGTTGTTAAAAGAACGTGGGCTCACTCTTAAATAAAGTGCATCCTGTGGGAAAGAGCTGGCAGGGGCAGATGGTAGGTGTACGAAGAAGATAACAGTGGATATGATGGCATGGGCATTTAGAGGCCCATCTGCCACTTCATTAAATTTAAAAAAGGGAATTTAATCATGGAGTATCAGGACATCTTGCGAAAGCTTTTTTTGTACAAAATAAAAACTATGTGGGCGGATGACATCCTGAAAAGTTGTCACTGGGAGATTTTAAGAACGCTGAGAAGAATTTTCCCCATCTAAACTCTGTGAATTCTCTTGCCTTCAGGTGGTCAATGTCAAGCAGAGCTCGGTCAACATGGTACCCTCCAAAGTGGAGATCACCCTCCGCAAGGCGGACCAGGTGGCCTGGGGCAAGCTGGAGGACCCCAACTACAAACCCGAGCCGGATCCCGTAGAGGAGGCCTCCGACGAGATCCCGGATTCGCAGCAGCCCGCCTGGGATATCGAAGATGACGACATCAGCGACTCGGACGAGGAGTGGGCCTACGACACGGAGGAGAACAGGAAGAACAAGGACAGTCAGAAGGGTGGGGAAAAGCAAGCAGAGGAGGAGGCGCAGAATTTAAAGAGGAAGGAGGTGGAGGAGGAGATGAAGAGGGTGATGCATGAGAAGAAGGCAGAGGAGGAGAAGAAGAGGCTGGAAGAGCAGAGGAGGCAGGAAGAGGAGGAGGGCTATGAGGACATGCCTGATCTGGAGGATCAGGGTCCTGACTAAGTTTTTTTGTCTTTTTTTTCATAGAAGAAAGTTAAATACAGTTAAATGCTGTTTTTTTTTTTTTAAATGTATTCAAATTAAAAGTGGTTTTCTGTTTGAAAGCTGGCTTCTCAGACTGTTGCTTGTAGGAGATTAATCCACTGTGTTCTTCATATTTTACTACACAACTACTGAACAAATAAACATCTCTGTTTTCGTCTCTTTCTACCGTAAAGCAAATTCACCCTCTGCTTTAAAGCAAACAAAAAAAAAGATGTAAACAGCTTCATCAGTGATATAAAGTATAGTTTGAGTTACGTACCTCCTTCAGAGTAAAACACCTCAGGGACTCGTCCACCGGTTCCACCAGCCACTGCTCGTAAACCAGTTTTGGTCTTAAGCCTATTGTACATCTGGGATCGCAGCCCACGCTCTCTTACTCACCAACCATTTTTACTACGGCAGCGACAACTACAAGCAGTTTTTCTTCTGTCTGGGATAACCAGTGACTACCAGGAAAGTCTGGTTGACTACCGAGAACAGAGTGGCGACAGCTGGAGAGACAGCGGACAGCCCGGAGAGACGGCATTGGGGTATTAAGGGTTAGCAGCCCAAACATGCATCTTTCTCTTTAGTATGAGAAAGAACCCACCTTAAGCTACAGATCGACCTACGGAAAAATACCCCCAGGGATCCCCGAGAGGGGGGGGGGGATGAGGATCCCACTCGGACGGACCAAAGAATGACGTAATCGGCAATGGAAACACGATGATGATTACAGAATAATTTTGTGGCAAAGTTTGCAAAAACCCACGTGGTCTGAAGATTCACCAGACCAAGATGAGATGTGTGCAGACTAAGCAAGTGTCACAGCGTGCAGGAATCCTCCCTGGTGAGACGCAGGAGGAGCTTGGCCTGGAGCAAAACCACAGTGCCCAGAACCTCCAAGTGGTACAAGCCCCAAACCCACACAGACCACCAGAACAGCGTCGGATTAGATGGCCCCAAGCTAATAAGGAGCATGAGTGGCACCAGTTTGATGAGGACACCAACTCCATCTTAGAAGTAACAGCCAAGGGTCGATCGGTGTCTCCAGACCATGACCACCATCATCATCAGCATAGCAGCTGAGAGATTTGGCCTGGGGGAGAAGAAAGCAGTGAGACTGCCCTACACCAAGAGCAACTGAGCACACAAGATCCACCAGCTCAGGAAGGAGCTGAGGGTCCTGAGGCGGCAGTTTAAGCAGGCAAGAGAGGAGGAGAGGGGACCTCTCTCAGAGCTACGCAACATACTCCGAAAGAAGCTTCTGACTTTGAGGGCTGAGTGGCATAGGAGAAGAAGGAAGGAAAGAGCCAGGAAGCGCACTGCCTTTCTAGCAAATCCATTTGGGTTTACGAAGCAGCTGCTGGGACAGAAGCGTAGTGGTCAACAACATTTCAGGCACTGCTGTCGCCATTCTCTTTAAGCATCACTGATGCAAAAAAGGCATTCTATACTGATAAGATTCACAGTACAACCGACACTCGAAAATTATTCTCCATCTTTATAACTCTGCTTAACCCTACTCCTCCGCCACCTGTTACTAGCTTAACGGCAGAGTCGTTCGCCTCATTTTTTACTGACAAAGTGGCAGCTATAAGCAAACAGTTTACTGAACGGCTTGCACATGAAACATATACAAGCAGAAGTCCTACTGCTTTGTTCTCCTCCTTCGCTCCTCTCACTGAGAGCAATGTGTCCAAACTTCTCACATGTAGCCGTCCTACTACATGCCTGCTGGACCCAGTTCCTACAAACCTACTCCAGTCCATAGCTCCCACAGTTACTGCAGCAGTCACACATGTGATCAATGCTTCGCTGACATCTGGCACATTTCCTAGCTCATACAAGCAAGCTTTGGTCACACCGCTGCTCAAAAAACCTTCTCTCCCACCAACTCGGGGTGGAAAACTATCGGCCGGTTTCTCTGCTTCCATTTCTGTCAAAGACCATGGAAAGGGCAGTCTTTAAGCAGGTCACAGACTACCTTTCACAAAACAAACTCCTTGATACAAATCAATCTGGGTTTAAAAGTGGCCATTCCACTGAAACGGCTCTGTTTGTGACAGAAGCCTTAAAAGAGGCAAGAGCAACTGCCAAGTCCTCAGTACTTATCCTTCTTGACTTATCAGCCGCATTTGACACATTCAATCATTACATTCTTCTGTCTATACTCTCGAGCATGGGCATCACAGGGAGAGCACACTCCTGGTTTGAATCGTACCTCACTGGTAGATCATTTAAAGTATCCTGGCTTGGTCACACTTCTGCAGCGCACCACCTTGCCACAGGGGTTCCTCAAGGTTCAGTACTTGGACCACTTCTCTTTGCTTTATATACCACTTCTTTGGCCCAGATCATTCAATCACATGGTTTCTCTTACCACTGCTATGCTGATGATACACAGCTCTATCTGTCATTCCCACCTGATGACCACTCGGTCGCAGCACGCGTCTCAGACTGTCTCTCTGACATATCAAAATGGATGAAAGCCCACCACCTCCAGCTGAATCTCTCAAAAACTAAACTGCTTGTCTTTCCAGCCAAACCAACTATTCACCACAATATTCACATCCAAACTGAATCCCTCTCTCTGACTCCATTAAAGGCAGCAAGAAACTTGGGTGGCATGATTGATGACCAGCTGACCTTTAAAGATCACGTTGCCTCTGTTTCTCCATCCTGTCGCTTCGCATTACTAAACATAAGAAAGATCCGGCCGTACCTAACACAACATGCTACCCAGCTCCTGGTGCAGTCTATGGTCATCTCCCGCCTTGACTATTGCAACGCACTCCTGACTGGTCTCCCAGCCTGTACAGTAAAACCTTTACAAATGATCCAGAACGCGGCGGCACGTCTGGTCTTCAATCAGCCCAAAAAATCTCACGTCACCCCCCTGTTCATTGAACTCCACTGGTTACCTCTGGCTGCCCGTATAAAAATTGAAGTCCCTGATGCTAGCCTACAAAGTGCTTAAGGGTACGGCTCCCATCTACTTAAATCCTCTTGCAAAGGCTTATGTCACAACTTGATCACTCCGGTCATCAATGGATTGTCGTCTAGCAGTGCCTTCACCACGCTTAAGACAATCCAGACTGTTTGCATGTGTCGTTCCAAGATGGTGGAACGACTTACCAAGCACCACAAGAAAGACAGAGTCCCTGTCTGTCTTCAAGAAACTCTTGAAGACCCACCTCTTCAAAGAGTATCTCCTATCCTAATCCTAACCCGTACCTCTACCCCCCCTACAACTCCTTCTGTTGTCCCCTTTACCTCTATCTCTTGCTGTCACCACTGACTCTGATCAGTGTTTCTCCTCTATATAGCTTATTGTCATAGTGATGAGAAATGTAATATTGTGTCTACTCTGTAAGTCGCTTTGGATAAAAGCGTCTGCCAAATGCATAAACATAACATAAACGAACATCGATCAGTTTAGAACCATCTTCCTGCTCAGTGTTGAAGGGAAATTATTCTTCAGCATTGTGGCAAGGCGTCTAACTGACCTCCTCCTCAGGAGGTCCTACATCGACACCTCGGTCCAGAAAGGAGGGATCCCAAAGATACCAGGGTGTCTGGAGCACAATGGCTTGGTCACTCAGCTGATCAGGGAAGCCAGAGAGAGCAAGGGAGACTTAGTCGTGCGTTGGCTGGACCTTGCAAATGCACATGGATCCATACCTCATAAGCTCGTCAAACAGGCACTGTGCCGCCACCATGTCCCAGCCAAGTTCAGAGACCTCATTCTGGACTATTATAACAGGTTCAGTCTGAGGGTTGCAGCAGGAGCCATAACATCTGACTGGCACAAGCTGGAGAAGGGAATCATCACCGGATGTACCATTTCAGTGATCCTCTTCGCACTTGCTATGAACATGCTAGTGAAGTCCGCCGAGGTTCAGTGCAGAGGGCCCCTAACCAAGTCTGGTGTCAGGCAGCCGCCCATCAGGGCCTTCATGGACGACCTGACCGTGACAACATCAAATGTCCCAGGGAGCAGGTGGATCTTGAAGGAGCTGGAAGAACTGACCACCTGGGTCCGCATGACCTTTAAGCCCGCTAAATCGAGATCTCTTGTGCTAAAGAACGGAAAAGTCACCAACAAGTTCAGCTTTACACTTGGCGGCACCCAGATACCATCTATCCAGTGATAGATGGTATCTGGGTGCCGCCAAGCCAGTGAAAAAGCCTGGGGAAGGTTTTCGACTGCAGCCTGAGAGACACAGCGGCCATCAACTCGACCAATCAAGATCTGGAGGCTTGGCTAGCCACGGTGGACAAATCCGGTCTACCGGGCAAGTTCAAGGCCTGGGTGTACCAGCATGGCATCCTTCCAAGGATTCTCTGGCCCATCCTGGTGTACGAAGTCCCGATCTCCACAGTTGTGGGCTTTAAAAGGAGAGTCAGCAGGGTCCTGCAGAAGTGACTGGGTCTACCGCGGAGCCTCAGCAGCATCACCCTATACGGAAAGAACAACATGCTGAAGCTCCCCTTCAGCAGCCTGAATGAGGAATTCAAGGTAAGCCGAACTAGGGAGGTGCTGCAATAAAGAGAGTCATGTGACCCAAAAGTCTCTCTGGCTGGTACTGAGGTCCGGACGGGGCGGAAGTGGAGGCTGTGGAAGTGGCGGAGTCACGGCTGTGGCACAGGACTTTGGTGGGGACAGTAGCTCGGGGAAGAGCAGGCCTTGGTAGCAGCACAACACCTTGCTACGGGAAGGCAAAGGAGAAGAGGAGGAGAGCACTGCTCCAGGAAGAAGAGTGAGCCAGCAGGATGCTTGGAATGCGGCAGCAGGGAGCCTGGACGCGATGGGAGCAAGCAGCAGAGCGCAGTCACGTGGACTGAACTGTGGAAAGCCGAGCCCCAGTGCATAAAATTCCTGGTCCAGGCTTTATATGACGTATTGCCAAGCCCGTCTAACCTGTTCTGTTGGGGGGAAGGTGGAGTCACTAGCGTGTGCCGGGTGCCAGAAGAGAGGGACCCTGGAGCACATCTTGAGCTGCTGTCCGAGGAGCCTGAGTGAGGGGCGCTACCGCTGGCGTCATGACCAGGTCTTGAAGGCCATAGTGAATACCATCTGCAGTGGTGTCCACTGCAATCGCGCCGCCCAGCAAAGAAGACCAGCCTCTTCATCAGAGCTGGAGAAGGACCACCAGCTGTTGCCAGGGTCTCTTCCTCTGGCCTGCTCACAATGGCACAGGATTGGGAGCCGACGGCAGACTTGGGGAAACAACTAAAGTTCCCAGAAAATGTGGCCACAACATCGCTAAGGTCAGACGGGTGCTTACCTCAGCAACATCGAAGCAGGTTGTGCTTCTGGAGCTCACGGTCCCTTGGGAAGACCGCATCGAGGAGGCCAACGAGAGAAAGAGGGCTAAGTACAGCGATCTGGTGGAGCAGTGTCGGCTCAACGGGTGGCGAGCAAGGTCCATACCTAGAACAGAAGGGAGTGGTTGTTACAAATGTGCAGAATATTTTACACTTGGTTGTCTATTGATGTGATTGAAATTGTTCCAACTTCTTTTAAATACTCCAAAGTGTTTTTTACCATTGAGGTGGAATGCACAGGGTTTGCTGGCCAGTCCCTGTGCAGGGTGTACAGCATGCTGGGCATCACAGGGGCCAGTAAGCGAAGGGCCATCAAGGAGGCCACAGAGGCAGCAGAGGTTGCCTCGCGGTGGCTGTGGATCAGGAGAGGAGATCCGTGGGTAGGGTAGCGATCAACCCCGGCTGGGTCGCCTGGAGGAGAGTGTATGATGCTTGAAAGACCCCAAAACACTCTATGAAACCAGATAACATCACTGATGATGTGTCCAGGTTGCATCACTAGTTGATGTAGAAGAAAAAACAACACTGTGCTGCCACCCTCGAGAAATGAAGTGCAGCTCAGGTAATTCACATGAAAGCAGTCAGTGGTAATGTTTAATATTTATCTGCCTCACATTCATTTCATGCCACTTTTCGAAAAAAAAAGGTTGTAGATTTGCCAATTCTATAGTGACCGTTGGGCTTGGCAACTGTAGAATGATATGACTTTTGTCTAATTTGGTTCCATAAAAACTGGATTGGTTTGTAGGGCGTCTAAATTATGAACGGTATTAAAGTGATAAAAATCTCTCTGTGGAAAGGTTAGATGATAACTCTGATGATTCGCTCTTTTTTTCTTGTTCAAGTGCATTTTCATATTCATCCAAAAACCATAGCTCAATATGACCTTGAACTAAAAAAAAACAAAAAAAACAATCTGTGATTGGTTCACAATGAGCAAACTTACAATCCAGTTTGCTATTTATACGACCTCCATTTTTCCGCCTACTGTTAACTTAAGTTTAGAGTTACTGCCTATAACTTTCATTCAACTATTTCTAAGCTGTCATGCAAGCAACTATCATAAGCAAACCAGTGAGACCTGATGCTCATCCACAAAACACACCACACATCCACAAATATTAGCATCTGGTCATGATGCCTCAACACAGAGGATCCTCTTTACCACTCTTTCCAAATAAAAGATGTTTCCAAACTCAAAGAGGAGCATAAGACATAACTGGACACCACCGTCACACTTCAATGATTAATTTAATCTCCAGAGGGTTGCACTGATTCCTCGTATTACACACGGCACATGATAACACAATAAAACACCTCGCGATGAACAATGTTGTGCAACATCTAATCAGATTTCCAGAGTTGAGCGCAGGATCGGGATATATTGGCTGCTCAAAAGAAAAAGGGGGGGGGGTGCGTTCACAAAGTTGTCTACTTAATACTGTTGCACAAACGTGAGTGTAATTTGTGTTCTTCAGCCATCTTTTTTTCTTTTTTTTGTCTCAGCTCCAGGTAAGTCCTTGGAATAGAGTCCAAGATTACATTTTTGCAGCCTGAAACGAAAAACAAAAAGCACTAAATTGAACACAAATGTGATCAAGAAGAGGGGGAAATATATATGAAAAAAAAAATCAAGTAAAACTCATTTCTAAACAGGCAACTTGTTTCCCCCCCAAAAATGGCTTTCGAATGTGTATTTACCAACATCTTCACAGTCCTTTATAGTTCATGTGATAAGAGATACAGAAAAATCTACCCAAACATTGGCTTAACACAAAGCAGGAAATCGCTTTCAAGTAAACAATCAGTTAGAAGTCTATAAATAAAAATACAAATGTTCATCGTGTTGGCTTAAAGTTTGAATAATTTTAAAATAGCCTTGACTTTGAGGTTACGTTTTCCACTCCAATGGGTTCAGACACGTTCATAACATTGCCGGGAAAGAGAAATTAAATTCACATGTATCCTCATCATCAGCATTATTGTTTAATGCAATGACTCAAGCAACTGTGATGTAATTTCAAAACCACCAATGTAGTAAACATTTGTTTTTACAGTTATATATATTCATTTCTTTTACAATTGGCTATATATATATTACATATTACCAACACATTTCTCCGTAAATATTTTTCATAAATAAAATATTTTTGTAATCAAATCAATTTTTAAAAAAATGCTCGTAGACACTCAAAAATCTTAACACACACACACGTCTTTTTTTTCCCGTTAAGTTTGCTTCTTTGTAAAGTGCAAGGCAAGACAGTAAACTTTTAAATGTACGACACACAACACCTTTCGCATCTGAAGCGTATTATAAGCTCACACACACTCACGCACACCTTGTAAGTCTCAAACCTGAAGTACAGACTTGGCACAAAACCACAAAAGCCTCTAAGGTGTAGAGTGTATAGCTGGCACACTATGGATACAGTAGCAAAGTCCTACCACAGCTAAATATCTACAGCGCCACGCAGTGCCTAGATCCCATTCAGGGTTAGAACTATGAAATGTGAAAACAGTAGAAATAAAGAATCACTTCCCTAAATGTCACCAGGTAGAAGCACACAATCCATTTCTGAGTTTTAATGCTCGTCAATAGTCACAATATTTATGCTAAAGCATGGAAAGTAAAGTTTGTTCACTTTCAGCAAAGGAAATGCCTGTTCTCTTTTCGCTTCAGTACTTTCACATGTTATTCTGAGCTGGTAGCTAAAAGCTTTAGCTAGTAAAATTTTCGGCTAACATCTTTGGCTTGTATTTAGTTCTGGTTCCATCTTTAAATGGATGCCATCTGAATGTTGAGTTTGAATAAGCAAATTCCCCACTTTTAGCTATGTAAAGTTCCTGTTTTATTGTCTTGATATGTTTGTGTTTTGTTTTTTTTGCTGTAAACAGAGTTAGCATAGTGGTGTTAGCTTCACAATTAATTCTACCCTGCTCTTGACACAATTAAACATTTTTTCCTGTTATTGCATGTGGATATTTAATTTACTAATCATTTTCCCTCTAATTAAAAAAGACATTGAAATGCAAAGTTTTTTTTTTTACCCCCTTTTGTATGACTAACATTTCTGTCAAATTAGGGAGCTGAAAACATTTTGTATAGCATAATATGCCCAATGAAACAAATGCAAAATGCATGAAAAACCTTATGTTACCGGAAGGCATATTATACATGAAAAAAGGTTTTTGAAAGTTTCTTAATTTGTTTTTTTTAATATATCTCTTTCGTGTCCACCTGCAAGCCTGGAATGTACTAGTCATTTTGATGTATTCCTTAAAATTAAAATTCCAAGAAAACATCCTGAATTCCTAGTTTGAGCCACTGCACAACTGTAAACATTGCTTCATTTAGGTTCAAAATGCATTTCCCTCTTTTTCTTTGAGTATTTTTTTTAAAGTTTCCTACAGCTTTTCAAACCTAATTCAGAAAATAAAAATTTTACCAACGTGTTTCGATGGCTAGCGGGAAAAAAAAGCTATAATTCACTACTTTGAGGCAACTGCAACTGTGATGCGAAGGAAGGCTTAGTACGCATGCAAGGACACAGAACAGCGCTGATTATATGCATGGTTACCAAGGAGGTTTTAGAGGAGGAGGAAGCAACAAAGGCAGGGAAAAACAGATTACCACTGGGGAAATCGGATATACAACAAACTGAATATATATATGAAACTGAATATATATATATATATATCTAAAAAAATCTAAAAAATAATAGTGATGAGAGCTTTTGATCACAAATATTACAAAATAAAAAAAAATTTGTTTTTATATCACAAATACAATCATTTTTGCATAACAAAGTAATGTACTGAGAAGCTGTTTAGTTAATGTGTCCCTCATGCTTCCTCCTCCAGGAAAGCGCCTCACCAGAAATATCAGACTTGAGTCATTTTATCCCGTCCTGCACTTCAAAACAATTTAAAATTCAAGTGAAGATATGCACAGTGGGATGCCTTTTTTTGTTATTGTTGTTTTACTCCCACATAAATTGCATTTTAGAAGTTGGTGGTGTCGTTTTAAAACCGGCAGGAGGATCGTTTCACATGGCTTAATTCAAAACTAAATGACTCATGTTGGAGGCGATTATTTCGGCAGCATGGCTAGATAGACTCAAACCACACACATCACACCACAGCCTATTAAGAACCACTTTAGGACCACAATAAGAGAACCTTTGTGAAATCATATTCAACATTATCATTATTCACAGGTTAATACAAGTTCACAGAAGTACATTCCTCGGTATATTTTTTGCAACATTTAAAATATTCTCCAGTTCATTAGACAATAAGGTTAAGATATCTCAGTTTGTTCATTTTGTTGATTTGTTGCCATTTGAGTTTTATGGCAGTAGCAACATAAAATAAATATGCAGTCTAAAGGCTACTCAGAAGTTAAAGCAACATAAGAACAAAAGTCAAAACTTGTAACAACTCATAACTGCACATATAAAATAATGTGGTTGCACATGGCATGCAAGGAGAGCACCACGGAAACATGTTTCCCCTGGCTGCGCCGTTGTTCCACCCTCCCCGGTGCTCACTTTGATTTCCTACGGGCCTCACTCACAGAACCAACAGCAGAACGGCAGTGGTGAAGAAATGCAACGCAAAGCCACGTCCCTTCTCAAAATTCATCAAAAACAAGAAGGAAGAGGAAGAAAAAAAAAAAGCCTCCTTGTCGTCCAAATGAGGAGTGACAAAAAAGTTCAATGTTGGAATAAGGTTTCACTTCTCTTCTCAACGCCCCTGTCAGGCCTCGGGGCATCGTGTTTAGAAGGGAGGAGGACAGAAGGGGTGCTCTCCACCTCTGGTAGCCATGGCGACAACGCAAGAGACTTCAGTTGCCTGAGGAATCTGGCTCAGCAGCCCCTCCTTTGATATCCCACGCCCCTGCGGAGGAAACCGATGATTAAAAAAGAAAAAAGAGAGAAATGCATGTCTTCTCTTTACTTTCAAAAGTAAAAATGTACCACTAATAAACAACGAGCTGAATTAGCCTCTGGCGTTAGCTTTTACCGGACAGAGAGCTGTTGGACTTCTGCTTGTGGAGCTTCTCCTTCTCCTTCTTGGCCTTGGGAATGATCTTCAGCTTCATGCTGCTGCTGCTCTTACTGCTGCTCCTCACCGCGTCCTGAGTTACACACACAGCCTGTTAGAGCGCAAACTGGGGAACACGTTTTGACATGGTGACACTAGCTGTCAGACGGTGTGCTTCTGACTGAGGCACACTGAGCGGCCTGTTAAGCCGGGGACAATGTAACCGCCCCACCTCCTCGGAGCACTGCATGTGCGGACAGATCCAGTGGATGTCGTCCAGCTTGTGGAGCTCGGCGCTGAGGCTGTTCAGAGTCGAGCGCAGCTCCTCTTCCTCTGGAGAGTCCGACTAACGAGGAAGAGGAGAGAAATGCTTATTTGTGAGGGGACTATTTTCAAAAGCGTTGACCATCTGTACACCTGCGAAAAGCTGCCATCTGTTCGTTTCTCTGCCGTCTGGGACGATATAATCACCCTGTGCACTTTCTCAGTGGACAGCTGTTACTCTGCGAAGTCAAAAGTGCCGTTCATTATGTTCTTTCAAGCTAAAGTAAATAGGAAATATATCTTTATTTATGCTTATAATCATTATGAAGGCCGAAACAGAACCAGTATATCACCACTAAGTGTTCTGTAATCAAAGAGGATTAAACCATTAAAACAAACAGGAGAAATGTGTCTGCTCCTCTGTGCAGAGGGCAGTGGCTACAAATGGAAAATTTCCATCTGCGGTAACTGAGGCCACAGCAGAATGCAAATTGGACAAAGACAAAAGACGGTGGGGGGCTGAAATGTGAGACGTCCGAAGCTTAGACGGCTTAAATGGAAGTAAGGCAGAGACGTACCAGTAGTTTTCCATCCAGCAGCATTCTGGTCTCACCCTGAAGGACCTTGCTGCTGTTAACTATTTCCACGGCCGTGCTGCGACTCAGACACTAGATAACAAAGAAAACAAACAAATCACTTTGCTTTGACCTTTAAGCCCAGTACATTTGAGCTGTAACAGCCATCGTTCATTCTACTGAACCCTTTTGCTTGTCAGCTAACAGGTTGCAAAATTAACCACATAATTAAATTGATGCAACACTCAGACATATTGCGGAAAATCTGCAAGCTTTACTTCTCCGTCAATCTTTCAAACTGGCCATCTGCTCACCCACCTGCCCTCCTTGCCCCTGCGTCTTACCTCGGGGTTGGACAGTTTGGCCTCTGTGAGCACCAGGGCCGTGGCGTTGACGGCGTGAGCCAGCTCCTGCTCCACCAGCTTGTGCGTCTTGGCTGCTTCGCGGATCCTGGGGAGGAAACCCCGGAATTAAGAACCAATTTAGGGGGATGATGGAGCTGTAATTAGTGTTGCACCAAACTGGAAAAGGCGCAATTACAGTGATTTATCAATTTATTTGTTCAACAGGACATAATCGTCAGGTTTCCATCCAGGTTTTCCCACCTTTGATGTTGGATTTGAGACACACAATTGAAGAAAAGAAGAAGAAGGGAAAAAAAGCATCTTTAGAATCCAAACAAACAAGCAGTGAATAAAAGCTTTATGGCGCTGAAAAAACTTAAAGACAATAAATCAGCCCAACTAATGGAACGAAGCAATTAGAGGGCCACAAATGTATTCATAATAAAAGAATTGTGGTGACTGGAAAAAAAAGGCAAAAATCCCCCTTTTTATGGTCTATAAAAATCAAACCACTGCAGATGATAAAAAAAAAAGGTTACTGAATATAATCCTATTGACTTAAAGTTTTTTTCCCCTCTAACTGCTAGAAATGATCAAAGTAAGAACTAAGCCTGACCAGCTCAGTTTAGGAGAGATGCTTATTGTACACTACTGACTCCTAATCCAAGTCTCTGTCACATAGAACAAGTCTTACTCCTAAAAGGCTGACGTAAAAAAAAAAAAAAAATTTAGAGGAAAGCCTGGAGACAAACAATCTCCATTTTTTCAACAAATGTGAGTAAATCTTTCAAAAATCAAATAGATTTTTCATCAACGCTGTTGGACTGGCGATCTGTCCAGGGTCAAAACATCACTCCCTAAATCTTGCTCCAAACCGCAGCGATTTCCTCTTCGTTGCAAGCGTAACGCACCCGCACGCACGTGTCCTGCACCTACTTGTTGATGAGCGTGTCGGCCACGATGCCCAGCTGCTGGACCTGAGCGCACTCTTCCTCCGTCAGGTACTCCATGGACTGCTGGGAGTTGAGGCGGGGCCGGGCTGACCGGTAGGTGTCAATCTTCCTCTTATCCTCCCAAGACTTCAGAGTGCTCTCGAACGCCTGTGTGCAGAAGGGAGGAAGACAAAAAAATAATAAATTGAGGGCAGTCAGCGGCTGCTGATCAACCTGTCGTGCCTTCTGGTGAGGGCTCAAAGCAGAAAGAGCTGAATCAGAGGCGTCCTGTCCAATGTGTGGACAAGGCCACACAGGAGGAGACATTTTCTCTCGGTAAATAGACAGCAGAGTAGCAGAAAGCGTTTAATTGCCGCTGTGCTTTGTGGGTGTTTTGCTTAATACCAGCCCTGTTTGAGAGGATGAAACCAGCAAGTCAACAAGTCTTTAGTCTCAGAGGCGCTTGAGGAGGGAAACCATGGAAACAAACAACTCAAACGCACCCGGCTGAAGAGCGCTCTCAAAGGACTGAGCAGCGCCAAGACCAAACACAGCGGGGATGGATTCGATTTAAGAAGTCACAGAGCACAGAAGAGTCAGTAACAGGAGCAGAGAGCTGGGGGGGCTGGAGCATTTGGACGGTCGTTACCCTGTCTCTGGTCAGCATCTGAGCACGGTTCTTGTGGACGATCTTGACGATGCCCGGGGGCTGGATCCAGGCCTCCCCGTCCACCTGCACGGGAACGCCCTCCTCCCCCTGGATGGTGATCTTCACCTGTCGGCACTGCAAATGTGACAGGACGGGCAGAAGAAGCAGTGTGTGAGAGGGGAGCTCTGATCATGTTTGTATGTTCCGCACAAGTCCACCACCCACCCTGATGGCTGCTATGAAGTGGGATCACTTTCCAGGCTTTTTTCACTTTAAAAGCCCCCCAAAAAAACAAAAAAACAACCAAACATCTATCAAATGAGCCACTCTTTTGGAGGAGAACCTCTGTCATGATATAAAATCTCTCGACTAAAAAAAGAGAAGGTTTTCCTTATGCAAATCCCCACAGCATGATGCTGCCACCACCATGCTAACAGTCGGCTTTGCAGCAGATATCAACATGATAGCCCAAAGCTTACATCTCATCCCACCAGAAGCCCTTCCCTAACCCTAACCTTCTCCAGAGCCTTTCAGTACTCATCATTGGTTTGGACAATTTATTCCCAATAATGTAATCTTTGCTCAGAATCCCCAAAAAAACATTTAACTACAGTTTGTAAAGTGGAAAAAAAAGAGAAAAGGGAGAATGAAACACTTTGCCATGCTCTACATTGTTCGTCTTCACAGGAGTAATGCAACAAAGCAGAGCTTTGGTTGAAAGCCTGTCTCTTTTGCGTGTTTGTGTGTGTGTGTTACCTGTGCAATGCGATGGTGCTGCAGGTTGATGACTCTGGACATGGCCATCTGCATACTCCCAAAAACCGCCACCACCTCCAGCTTCTTGTCATCAAACGACGGAGCACCAAAGTTCTGAACAGGCAAGCAAAGCAGAGTCGGGTGACTTTCGATCGTCCTTAATGCAGCTCATCTTTAAACTGTTTTTAATGAAAAGGTCTGAGTGCACAGGACTCACGTTATCCTCCTTGGTGCCTCCCCAGAAGTTGATGCCTCCTGCATAGCTGGGGATGTTGAGAACAGCCAGGCCCTGCAGGCTGGGCAGAGACATGGCCACCCCGTCACACTGTGGGCACAGAGGAGACCAGCACGTCAGCCCGGAGAGGCTTCGTTACCGAGGGAAAACAAGCCAGCCGCCTTCTACTCCTTCATTCGTTTGGCATCGCCTGGCTGTTTGTGCTAGTGTGCCCGACCTCCAGCTGGACTCTTTGCTCCAGGTTCTTGTACGTCTTCTGGACCAGTTCTTTGGTCCCCAGGACCCCGTACCACATCATGTTCTTTGTGCGACTGCTGCAAGCAGAGACAGACCCCTGATCAGATCTGATACTAGATGACATTTAATCTGGATTCAGTCCATGAGAACTAGTGTTGGGGCTCATTTTTTCTTTCTTATTTTAACATAATTTGACAGGGAGTTAATTCTCTAATGTAATAACCAAGCGTCTTACTCTCTGCTGATTAAATATCGTGGTGGTATGATGTTGCTTCTCGCTCCCTCCGTACCTCTAAACTGACAGCTGCCTGCTGCAGGTAAGGTACTCTGAAGACTCATTAGTCCTTCACACAACCCCTTTAAGCTCAGAGACCTCTTTAGATCTGCACTTCAGATGCATAAGCTCCGAAAGGGCTAATTGAGGACTCTGACATGCAGTCGCCTCTGGGCTGTCTGTAGTGGTTCTCGGGAAGAAGCTTCCTCTGGTTAATCACTTAGGATGTGTAGGAGAGCAAATAATATGAATATTGGATAAGACATACTTCATAGGTAACCTCAACCCTTTAAAGTCATAGGATGACTCTTTGGGTTTCCCCCGTCCTTGTATTTCTTTGGTATCATTCCCTGGGGACGTGACGTGTGGAATAAAACGTTGAAACGGGTTCAAAACCGACATTATCTGTGACATTTTCGTAACAGGTTTTTATCGTGTTAATATAATCATAACGAAAAATATCAACTTGATCTTTTTTTATTTAAACGTGAGGCTAATTAATCTTTTTTTCAACATTTATTTTCTTTATCAAACAGAAATTAGGCTTAAATAAGGTGACAAACAATTTTGGAAGTACAAAAAATAAAATCCATCTCTTGTAATATAAACCTGAAATCAAATGGTAATATCATCAGTTAATACAAATATTGATTTAGCTGTTTTTTGCTGTCCAACAAAACAACTTATTTACTGATGTGACTGAATTCTAAATGGATCAAAGTGCTTTGTGATGATATTTGTTGTGTTTTATGTGAATATTTCTGAATTCTGTTTTTCTGAGTTCTACAGGCAACTGTTACTTTACAAGAAAATAAATAGGATGGTACCTCTAATGCTTTAGCTGTTTGTTTGTTTTTTTACTCTGGCTAGCATGCTTTTAATAGACATAAACTCAAACTAAAATAATTTCAGGTGATCCTCCAACTAAACGCTTCCGTATGCTGCGCAGGAATCTTTGTCTTTCCCGTCATACCTGCATTTTTTTGGATGCTCGTCTCTCTTATTGTTGAACTCCAGAGAGATTTTGGCATCCAGGCCGATGCCGAAGTAGTTATTCATCACACACTTCTCTGAGCATTGTCTGTGGGGGACACATGTTTTTTAATGAGCAGGGGCACGCATGGTGCAAAAAGAAAAAACAAACAAGCAGGAGCGTGCGCGCTCAGACTTACACCGAGTCCTCGCTGAACGTGACTGAATTGAGGCTCTCCGGCTTCTCCAGGACGATGGGGGTGGTGGGACTCAGGCCTCCTGGACGAGCAGACATTCAACATGTGAAAACTCTTTACAGGAAAACATAGCTGAGCTTTGATATTGATGGACTGAATGGATTGGGTTTTTCTTTCAAACCGTCTCTAAAAAGGAGGGTGTGGTTTGAGCTTTAGAAGCGGAGCCCTAAAAGAGCACTCACCTGGCTCGGCCTCTTTCAGCTCCTCGCTGTTCTCCCTCTTGATGGAGGACGAGGACGGCATCCTCTGGACCTGCGTGTGTCTGTTCTGCTCGTCCACCACTGAAACCATGAGGTGCGGTCAGCCGACGGCAAACATGTTTCAAAGTGACAGCCGCGGCTATAGGAAAGGAGAGAGGAGCCACCTTTCTCGGCCTGCTCGATGATCTGTCGGAGGGCTTTCTTCAGGCTGTTGGCCCTGAGCATCAGCTGCTCCTTGGACCGATAGGTTTTGCCCTCTGAGCCCGACTCGCCACCGCTTTCACCGGGACTGGAGCTGCCGCTCTCCTGGCTGGGAACTGAGCCTGCTGGCACAACCTAGAAGGAGAAACAATGAAAATGTCTATAGAGCTGGAAAACCCATAAAATAACTAAAACCTTTATAGATATACCCATTATGTGCCTGTTAAAAGACTTTCTGATTTAACTCAACTCCCAAAACAGCTCCATCATCTTTATCATTAGCAGTGGCCGCCCTGCAGTGACACCCCAGCAGGCGTTTAACCAGCAAATGTCTTTCCAAGACATTCCTTTTTACTGTTCCCACTTAAGAACTGCAGTTCACATCTGCTTTATTTTTCCTATGATGACACACGGCACTTAATATCATTCATGGACCGAGCGGCGGCAGAATTTGGAGGCTAAAATTAAAAGCACTTCCAGATTTGTTTCCATTCTGGCCAGCCACTCTGACAGCACTCTGCAGGGGGGGGGGGGGGGGCTGTTAAGCTCAACTAATCCAACCAAGGGCATGCGTGAAGATGACTCGAGCATCATCGTTCGGTACTTCAGAGAGAGGAATAAAATTATGTTGAAAGATAAAATAAAACTGAGAGCAACATAATCATTGGTTTGGCATGAGTTTGGATTCTAAGATTAGACCATTTTCAGCTGAAACATTGTGACCACTGACAGAGGAAGTGAGAGTTTTAAAATGAGCCCTAACTATTTAGGGCTAACCTTTACAAACAGTAAACAAAAATCACTAAGGGAAGTATTCCACTTGTGCCTTCTCAGTGCCTCTTGGCTCAACTTGTTTGACAGCTCGGATTCCTTTGACCATAATCCAGCAATAGAAAGTGGAAAATTCATTACCTGCGCTTCCGCTTCCTCACTTAAGGCCTTGACCAGGGAATCAAGTTTCTCATTCAGCAGTGAACACTGGAAAAGACAGAGACGGTAGAAGAGGGCGTTAGTTTGGTTTTATAGGGCCCCTTTGAGGCCACACTTCAGGCTCACACAAAAGGATCGCAAATTTGGAGATTAGAGAAAGCATTGGTGCTGGACAGAGCTTCTTAAACGCTGCCCTTTCCCTGTAGTAAAAAGAGGCAAAACCCAATATCAGCCTGAAATCAATAGCAGCTCTCATATAGCACAGAGGAGACCTCTATCTGAAGAAGTAATGGGCCGCTTCCCTGCATTATTCGCAAAAGAAATGGATGGAGTGGGTCGGGGCTCAACGGCCCTTAAACAGAAAGGTTTCATAGAAAGCCTCCACCAAGAGAGAAGATCTCACTGCTTTTTTCATTTCTTTTTTTTTTTAAAGAAAATGGCCTAATTCACAATAACATAATTGTTACATGCCATTATTGTTATCATTGTGTTTTTTGGCTGTATAGTAACTAAATTCTAATCTTATCGAAACACATTAGTGAACATTATTTACACTACCGGAGTCAGTAACACAAATTCACACCAACAGGTTTGACCTTAATTCATTCCATTAGAAAGCACGACAACATAAAGTCATCCAATGAACTGTGCATGAATATAATCTTGTATTTCAGCTGGTCCAAATGGAATTTATGATTAGGCCTCAACCCTGGGATTTAAAACACGTCTTTTCCCAAGCAACCTCAAGCAATATATCATAAGGGAAAATTGCTCATTTGTCGGGAAAACATGCATGTTGGGACATATGGAATTAGGCAAGTAAGAACACAGCAGAGTTCGTCTCTAAACACAGCCGACATCCTCAAACCTTTGCAATAGGCAGAAGAGAGCCAAACCTGGGGCGGCCAGAGGCACAGAGCAACACCGCATCCTCACCTACACTTTGTGCTTGTTGCAGTTATGTTCAACAGATGCCCACCGCTTCGTGTTACACAAGTCATTACGTAACACACACACACACACACACACACTCATTTACCTTCTTTGCCATGGCATCTGCCTCCTCCTTGTTCTCAGTGGCTCTCTCGTACGCCTTCCCCACCTCCGCCACAAAGTCATTCACAGTCCCACACAGAAACCTGTCGGGCAGGGAGGGAAGATGAGAAGAGTGTGTGTGCGTGTGTGTGTGGGGGGGGGGGGGTATTGGGAAGTGGGGAGTTAGCACGGGGAGAGGAACTGGATGGGGAGGGTGTGAAGGCGATTAACATAAACATACTTGGGGCTGAGGGTCGCGCAGATTATGTGGTTTAACAGGTTGAAGATTTGGTGACTCACTGTGGTAGGTGATAACAATTATACGCGCCCGTGCACGTGCAGGTGCACGAGCGCACCGCCTACTTGCATGTCAGTCACATTGCCTCCACACTCTCACCTTTCACTCGCAGCTGTTACTCCGCAGCTGCGTGACTCAGCACCCAGTTAGGAGACTGTCACATCCTCCCAAAACGAAACGGGCCGATTTTGAGTTTTTTTCTCGAATAAAAACACCCCCTATTTGGTCACCATATCAAGATTTTTCAGGCATTTCCGCCATCTCATTTGTAGTCCACGGGTATGACCTGAGACCTAGTAAAAGACCGACGAGCCGTTGCACTTGCGAAAAAAGGGGAGTTGAGTTTTTTTTATGTTTAACAACTCAAGTGAAGTTTTTCCATTAAAGTGCACACACCCTCAAGTCCCCGAGGAGCTTCAGATATGATGCAGATCTGATAAGTCAATTAGCGGTGGCTTTAAGGCACCGGGGGAAAGAGGTGGAGAAAAGTGCTCCGTAATGCCTTAATGCACTTTTCCCAAAGGAGGTCTGCTACGTAAGTAATGCACCCCGGATGACCCTAAATACTGATTCAGCCGTCTCCTTCCATCTCAGACCGCTGTGCACGCTCACATGCGCAGTCCTCGGGATGAGCTCGGGGCAAAAGTCGATACATGCTGACCAGACAGTCTTTGTTTGCCCTTTCCTCCCATCATCACTCTTCTGTTTTTTTAATTTATTATTTTTTTTTACCTCCTGGTTTTTATTAAGCCTATATTTTCATCTCCCCTCTCTCATCCCTCAACCTTTTCCTCCTCGTTTCTGCTGCTCTCTTTTTTCCTTGTTCCTTTAAAGGATAGAAAAAAGAAAAAAAAAGAAAGAAAAAACAATAACGCAGCACATACTTGGCAGAAGATATGACATCACTGTGGTTGTCTGAGTCCAGGATCTTGGCCAAATGAGAGGCCACCGAGTCTGCATACTGAGTGATGTGGACCTAAAACACACCAGAGACAGGAAAACACTGACTGTCGAGGGGTTCTTTCCATTTCTATACAATCACATGTACAGACATCATCTCTGACGACACAACTGTCATGTAATCCACACTTTGACAGGGACGTGTAAACAAGCCGAATCTGGCTGGGAAATTGTTTCTGGGCTCCAAGCTGAGGTGTGATTTCTTCAGCAGGAGGAGGACCAGGACATCCAGTCGTGTGAGCATAAACTCTGTCCCACTGGGAATTTTCAGGTTTTACGTATTAGATCAAACTAGAAAAAAATCCTCTGGCCCTCAACAGGTCTTAAAAATAAGGTTTGCACACAGAAAAAAACAAATTTCTCTGTGGCATTACTCAAAACCAAATGTAGAATCAGTGTGACAAAACAAGCAATGAAAGAGTTTAGTTATGTAACCATCATTCAACCCCCCCTCCCCTTTATACTTGACAGTTTGAGAGGCAGAGATCAGCCCCATTTCCACTCCCAGCCGTGATTGGAAATCTCTATACTTTGTCAGGGTACTTTGTCAGTACCCTCACCACTCCCCGATGGTTAGGTCTGATTGCGTTGGCTTCCACCTGCCAGGATCAATCGATTCTCAGCAGATGTTGTCCCAAAATAATTCCACGGCACTTTCAGAGCGCGCGCTTTTATTGATGCCATCTGTCAGAAGGCAGACGGCCTCCTGAAAGCTGCATGGGGTCATTTACCTGCAGAGGAGAATCCAGGCTGTCGTCTTCCTTCATTATCGGCGTGTGCTTATTGGTGCTGGGCACCTCGTATGTCATCACGCTCCATCTGAAAAAAAAAAGAAGTACCTCAGTGTCAAGCAACGGATTAGAGACTCCATCAGTTTGAGATCGGTGACATTGTACGAGAATTCTGAACCGCAGGAGGTTCTCTATCCAAGCCTCACCTGCATCTCAGGCTAAGAACAAAGAGGCCCCAACACCTGAAGCACGGATAGGATTGCTGTTCCACGCTCTATCAAACAGCTAACCTCCTATGACATTAATTTCCTTCAGGAAAACAATATCTGTTAACAATTTCAGCATTTGACCTCGATTGGATTGATGTGCATGGCATGAACAAACAGCAGTTGTAATACGATGTAATATCAATCAAGCCATAAAGTTAGAAGACTTGAGAAATTTTAATAGTTTCAACCGTTGCTGAAATTATATATTCTCGAAACAACAAAGGATAGCATCTCTAATGGTATTTCACTTTCTCTTATTTTCAAGCACCATCATTTTTAGTGTGCGTTCCCACATCAATCAGTTCTTGTGATTTAGAATTACCATTGAATCATTAATGATCCTTTTTGGCAACACAAAACAAATCACCAATTGGGTGTATAAACAGCATCTCTGTTGGGAAAACACAATCCTAAACCAATTGTGTGTTTTTTAAAACGTAGCTATTTGTTTAATGTTGGGTTGATGTGCCCTCTGCTTTGTTTTGCCTCTCCTTGTTTGCTTTTAAACTCAATAGATGTTTTCAGGAAGCTTGTTACGTTCTTTCTTTTGTTCTTAGGTCTTCTGGGCTATTTTGTGTTTTTTTGTGGACTTTGTTTTGGGGTTTTTTCTTGATTTGAGTTTTTCCTGAGGTTTTGGATTTCTTATGATCTGTGGTACAGAAACAAAGGCTCAAACCAAACATGCATTTTGCAAGGAAACAAGGAAACCACATGGCTTAACCACAGAAAACAATAAATCCTCTATATTCTTTTCTGTAGAATGTATTAATTTTTCTTCAAAAATGTATCTTTGGTGTTTTCTTACATGTGTTGCCAAATATCCTGTTTTGTTCAATCTGTTCGTAAGATCTTTAATCACACACTTACATGACCACAAGAGTAAGGAACAGTATTCAAACTTATGATGGGAACTTACTTTGAATACATTCATAAAGAAAAAGCAGGAAGTCTTTGGGAAGATTTTGTCCGAATCCTTATATGCAAACCTATTTTAATGCTATTAGACATCAGTCAGATCCAAATCACTTCGAAAATAGTAATCCATCCTTAAATGGCCACTGACTTAGGTAGTAAAAAAAAAAAAAACAGCAAGAAAAAAAGTAGTGTATCACTTACTATTTGAGCCCGTGTCAAAATGTTTTTCCCATATTCCGCTCTAAAGCAACTTCTCTTTGAACCCATCCCTGCTAAGCCCAGGAGCATCAAAAGTTACTTATTAAATCATCAAACCCTCGGGCTGAGGCAGAGATTATAAACCTTTGGTAGATTACTTTCATCCACTTATCTTGTAGTTAGTTCCTCTTGGCTGCTGCCCTCAACTGAAGTAAGTAGAGTGAAAAAAGGCCAGCAGCTTTTATTTGGAAATCCCTCCAACAGTCAAAAGATGCCTCTAAACATCATCGCAGATCACATAAAAAATGTGTCCACCGCACTCTTAGCTAGGAGCCATTCAGCCATTAGACCTCCTCTGAATGGTCACAGGGGCAACTCAAGCCCTTGATGGGAACCACCAAGCGTATGGAGGACAGCTCCCTTCCTTCTTACCTGTCCAGCATTTTGGTGGTGGCTCTCTCCAGCTTTTCCAGGATCTGCAGCAGCTGAGCGTCGTCGTCGCAGAGGCCTCCCCAGCCCAGAACGCGGGCCAGGTCGTTGCCGGTGCCCAGAGGCAGCACGCCGAGCTGACACTGTGGAGATGTGGCGGAGTAAGACTCTGACAGGCGGATCAGTTACATCAGCAGCGGACCAATTGGTCACTTTTGCCATTTCTGAGTATCTATTTCATCCCATTAGCTTAGCAGGATGCTTTTACCCAGAGGGATTTATAGTGGTGCTAGAGTGGAGGAAGGCGACTGCAAAGAGAAAGGCTTTTGGTACGCAAAGGTTTTGATATCTTTTGAGAATTGCTGAGCACCACAAAAGTAGATGTCAGCAAAATGATAAGACAAAGACAAAACCCAAACACTTGGTCTGTGGGACCATACTGTGTAAAAATGAGATGTTGTAAACATGATCTAAGCTGTCTGCTGGGCATACAACCAATTTAACAAAATAAGGAAGTGCATTGGTGTGTGCTGCAGTGATGCTGTGAGAGGATGCTGACCAATCAACACGCTGGCAAGTCTCCAAAAAAAAAGTTGCACATAAAGGCAGAAATGCCCTGAGATTCTTTTTTTTAATTTTTTTTTTCTAATAATACAATCCAAAGATGAACTCATATTTTCAACCTGGCATCTCTGTATTTTATGAAACGTTAAAATTTCCAAAACCTCTTGGATCTTCCTCCTGGCCTGTCCTATTGTCCCGTGTGGCACGCTGTCCACATTTAGTGAAACTCACTCCATGTAAATGAGTTGAAAATCAGCCATCAGCCGCATGAACTGAGCCTTAAACAAGTGTTTAATGAGTTTAGTTCAACACGACCTGAAAATTAAACGGGTTCGACCTTAATTCGAAAAGGGGGTCCGTTAGTCAATTTAATATGTAAACCATGTTAATGTTGCACAGAATCCATTCACGGCAATTAACTCCACCTGGTAGGACATTGCTTCTTTAGCCCCTGGAGAAGTACCTTTACCCTCCACCTGCAACTCATTCTTTGGCGTTTTTTTGTTAATAGAATTCCTGTTCATTTAAGAGGTCAAGTCAAAATACTTTTTGTTGTATTTTGAAAACAAAAAAACAGAAAGCCCAAGTGAGAACAGATCTATCTGCAATCTGTTCAGTTCCCTCACAGATCAGGATTACATCATCGAGGCTTCCTCCCACTCCTACCAAACTTTAGTGTTCTCACCTGCTTATGGAGGTTGAGCTTATCCAGCTCGGAGAGCACCCAGCCCACGCTTCCGTCGCCCCCGCACACCAGAATTCGAAAGGTAACAAACTTCTGGAAGAGCCTCAGGCTAAAAGAGACGAGAGAAGTACAACATGGGTGGAAAACATCAGCAGGAATTGTCGATTAATCTAAATGGGAAGCGTAAACATTTAACAACACAGTCAACCAGACGGCTGTGTAGAAATAAGTAAATGTTAAAAAAAATAGATGAAAAAATATATTTTTTAAAAAGGTACCCGAGCTCTGGTCCTCCATTCATCAGGTCGAAGACTTGAGCGGGGTTCAGGAGCTGCTTAAACTTGCGCAGGAACTTCACCCCCTGGTTGTCCCCACTTTTGGAGTTGACTAGGACCAAGAGCGGGCTGGAGCATGACGCAGAGGTGGCCTTCCAGAAGCCTGAGAAAGAATTTTGGAAACAAGCAAACGTTCAAGATTCAAGGTTAAATGTCTCTAGGTGTGGACTGTATGACGCATTACTGATGAATGGTATGGAATAGTAGTATGGATAATATGGAATGATGGGGGAGAAACTTGGAATAACCAACAAGATCAGCAGAAGAGGTCACCCCCCCATTCTGTGCCGACATTAGTGAACTCAAACGATTTAGAACATTGGAGACTAAAGGCTGACGTTCCTGAACTTTGAACCTGCTTCTGCAATACTGTTCAGGAAATAGGGTGTGTGTGTGTGTGTGTGTGTGTGCGCGTGTGTGTTTGTCTCACCATCTGAGTCGATGCTGTTAAGTGCAGTAGGAGGGATGATTGAGACTCGACACTGACCCAATGGACACACCTTTCCCATTTGTTCTTTACAGCTGTTGTGAACCTATGTACACACACACAGAAACACACACAGACACACACAGACACAGAGATTTACTGGTCTCCATAGTAATTCTATATTTCGGTAGAGCCGGAAAGGTCATTACATTCCTCTGAAACCCATCAAATGCCAGCTCTGTAACCTTTACAAATGCCACTCTGATTCATTTGTGGATGTGGATTGCCGTTATTTTTCCTCTTGCTCAGGATCAGACTTTGCACCATTTCGGGAAACCTCTGCTCAGCGAACGCGAGACAGAAGTTGCATCGCCGTAACTTAGAAGCATGACCCAGCAGAACCGCCCCCACTTGATTGGGTCTGTCTAGCACTGGTGTAGAATCTGACACAGCCTGAGACACTTCAACCCTCTGCTCATTTACCTACATTTTCTATCTAGCCCTCCTCAGGAAACTAGAATCAGAAGAAATTTCAATCTCAAAAATAAATTCTTAGCTGTATTCTTCTCCTACAGTGGAATGCTTTTCATGATTAATACATGCTATTATTACTTGATGTCAGCAACGAGCAGTTTCTCTTTTGGCCACTTGGCTTCAGCTTAACAAGCTAAAAAAAACTCTCCCAAAAAAGTAACCTCCCTACATTTCTCCTTAATATTTTAAGAAATCGCTACCCATCAAGGTACGGCAAACAGACTTCCTAGAGAGGTGACAACTGTCAAACATTACTTCCTCTATGGAGGCAAATTCAAGTAATTTTTGCTAAAATGCATTTGGCACATTGGATTAGCTTCCAGATAATGTGCCAGAATGCGCCGTCAGTGTCGTAAAACAATCTCCCACACAAGATTAGCCTGGCCAACCTATAAAAGGCTACACTAAATATAGTTAACATCCTTACAGAGGAGAATTATATCATCTGAAGTCGGCCGAAATGTAAGACCTCATGGGGAATCAGGAAAAAAAAGTTACGTTTGGGGGAACATCTCATCCCTGCAGGTCACAATATCCTGTGCGTAAATAACTTCCAGCTGGTAGCAATATCCTAAATAAGTTAACACTAATTTGAGGCGATGGGTTTTGACAGGGAGAGGGGCTAAAATCAATGCCACTTACGATGGCCTTGCACCAGAGGCAGCGCCAGTCCTGCAGCCGCCTCACGCTGCCACAGTTCTTGTCACACACCACACATTTGGCACTGACGGGGAGGTTGCCTTCCAGCCACTGGTGGGGCATGGACACCTGAACAACAAACAAACACACAAACAGAAAAATCCACTAATGAATCACATAATTCTTAAGAAAAATGGAAAAAAGACAAAAAAAAAAAGCTGTGAACATGGCGTGTGTGTAATGAGTTCAGGCTCTTTTCCTTGGATGGAATATTCGGCAGCTCAATGCCTCACCCCTTCCTCATCCTCGATGATGTCGTTTCCTATGGAGGCCAGAGTGGTCCATTTGCAGTTGTTGGTGGAGCGAACAGCACAGCGTTTGTGAGCCTTAAACTTGCAAACTGCCGGGGACAGAAAACATCATTTTTGGTGATGACACAAAGGGAGCCTAATCTTTACACGGCTGACGGTTCAATCGGAGGTGTTTTCGGTTCATTTTCGGGTCATTTCCCTCTATGTGTTCAGGCGTTGCAGGTGGAAACGGGCAAAAACTGAACCGCAAGAATTTTCTACAGACACAAACTGTCAAAGAGGGCATTTATAAATAGTATGAGCATCTTTCTTGAGTCTACTCCGTTTCCTGGGGACTGAGACATCTGCGATATGCCGTGATCAAACTGACACAGGAAACAACAGTTTCCTTTTCAGCCATGAGTTCACACTTCTGCTCTGTACTGGTTTGGGGCAAGAAGAAACCCAATCAGTCCACCCACCCTCTCTTGATCCACAGGTTCTACCCCCCGCTTTTTTCAGACTGCGTTGTACTTGATAACCATAGGGGCACATCTTTATCTCATCATAAAAGAGACAACCTGAGTAAGCCAGACAGCAGGTTGGTAACGATCCGTGTTATAAGGCATCGTTTAATAACCAGTTGCTCTGAACCGGCCCAGCTTGTTAAAATCACATTAACGACGCAATGACACAACAACCATCCGGTTGATGAACCAGTTGAACATTTTTTCATTGGTTCCATCAATGTTTGGAATTCTTTCGTCATTTATTGACTCCACTAAAGCTGGTTGTGCAGGTTTTATCCCCCCCTCCCTTTGGAATGTCAGGTTTCCCCTTATATTTCAAACGCAAACGAATGTCAAACTTCTAGCTGAGAATAAAATGATTAAAAATGTCATATTTTGAACAAAAAAAGAAGCCAGAACTTGATGGAAATTAGCTGCTAACAAGACAAGAGAACAGAAATTTGAGACATTTCAATTGTGGAGGTAGTTGGAATTTTATTCTACACAGTTTTAATGTGCCATTTTAGAGCATGGAGGATTAAAGATCACAGATTTAAAATATGTGTGCCAGTGGACATATTTCCCCTCCTAAACCTCTGGTTGGTCACTCTCTTAAGCTGGAACAAGGCTAAGAAATTCAATACGGTTTCTTAAATCACAAAGAACTGTACAGTAATGAAACTAAATCTTTACTGAGGAGCCACCTTAAAACCGTGCATAGACTTTTACTGCTGATATGAATGCCCTTACACAGTCAATTCATTGTGTCAAACCCACAAAGAGGCTTCCCCACCTTCTAATAAAGGAGCTATAAACCAACTTCTTTACTGCCACGAAGAGGCTCGGGACAAAGACCTTTCAATTACTGAAAAAAAACTGTGCTTAAAAGTCTATCTGGTTAGGGATAAACTGAATCTTCCAATGAGCGCGCCAAGGAAATGTGCGACTAAGAGCTCACATGTCGTGCGCTGTGTGTGCATGTGTGTACCTTCGCAGGACAGGCCGTGGGAGGTGACGCCTGGCAGCGCTTCTCTGCAGACGTTGCAGAAGGTCGGTCTGGCGTGCGAGCAGGCGTACCAGTTGTGCATCCCGGAGAAATGTTCCATGTTGAACTGACTGGCCTGTGGGAGCAGAAATATTACAGGATGGATGGGACGATTACTTTTTCGGGGGGGGGCAGTTAATGTGACCGTAGAAATTTGAAGGCACGTGAATAGGAGAAAATCATGACACTGTAGCTTTTGGAGGAGGACGCACAAAACATTTTTAATGTAATAAATCAATATTCTTTTTCACTTAGGAATAACCACGCATTAGACAAAACCTGTGTGCAGCACTGTGAAAGCCGAGGCCCTTTGAAAGCTGAACTTGGAAGAAAATATGCTTGTATAACGTATTACAATCTGCAGCTCCCTTTACTGCCTACTAAAACAAAGACTCGGATTTTACGACTGAAATAAATCTGTAACCAAAGAGAGGCAAATATGAAAGAAGAGAAATGCTGAAGGAACTGTGAGATTGAGCACCAAGAAGGAGGCGTTTAGTCGCATTAAAAGAGAAAAGACGCAGATCCAAACACCAATATGAAATGACACGCCTGTACGCAATGTCCATTTGTTAGATCAAGCTTCCTTAAATGTGTTGCAATTTACAATGCTGTAAAACTCATAGATGGTAGAGAGAAAGGGGAAAAAGGAACCTCGTAGGTTTCCCATTTTTGGACAGATTTGAGAGCCGTGATCCAGTCTTCCATTTCCTTCCTGTTCTCGGCACATAGCATTAGTTTGCGGAATGGCGTGATCACCTGCCAAAGACAGAAACAAAGGGGAAAAGTTGGAGGACTGAAATTAGCGGTGAACAGTTTTCTTCGAAAACCACAACTCAAAGTTCTTAATTAAAGTAAGTAATGTAAGTTGTATGTGTGGGATGAACAGCTTGTCTTTTGCATTTTTTTAGGGTGTAAAATTATTTGACCTTAGCCGGAAAATGTTCAAACACTTTACTTGCATACTTTCCCACACTAGTTATCTTAATAATATACTAGCACTATATAAAGGTTTTTTTATGTAGTAAAAATGGCAAATTACACCCAACACTGGTAGGCATTCAGTGTTTTTTAGATAAATACCTATCCATCCATTAATGTGATATACCCGCTCATTCCTAGAAGGGAACATAGACAAGCAACCAAGGACACTCACACCTAGGGTCAGTTCAGAGTAAAAAATGAACCAAAAACGCATGCTAATGGACTGTGGGAGGAAGCCCAGAAAGAACCCGCGCATGCACGTGGAGAGCATTCAAACTCCTAACTAAATTTGAATACACAAAACCTTTAGCATTGGTTAGTTGGTCTCGAAAGTGCACTACCAGTCATCAGTTTGAACCCACTGCTGAAAATGGCTGATGTTTTGCCATCGTGTGAGAAAAAAAAAAAGAAATTCTAAATGTGGACGCATGTGTATTACTTACTGTGAAACTGTTGTTTATGTTCTTGGTGCTGGTCTCGGCCACACTGGCATCAGAGAGGTCCACTTCATCAAAAATAAGAGACTGGTGGGGGAGGGGGAGGGGGTTAAGTCTTTGCATTTTTACCACACATAGGTCACATATTTCCTGACATCTTTCAATCATATACAGCAATTTCAGAATGCTATTTCCAGAGGACAGTTTAATTTTCACATCAAAGTGAAGTGCACATGTGTTGCGTTGTCAGCTTATAAACTGCTACAAGCAGTTCAGCCCATTTCTCTACCTTGCAATCTTTGGCATAGTAGAGAGTCCTTCCTCTGAGTTTGAAGTACCTCCTCTTCCATCTCTGGAAAGAGCTGGTCTGCTTTAATAGGATTCCCTCCTTCACGCTTTTCTGTAGTGAGATAGAAGTGGAGGTTGTGGGGAAAAAAGAAAAAAAGATATTAGCACACCCAGATCTCCTAAATAATTAATGAGAAAGGCTTTTTTCTCTCAAAGTTAACAGGCAGCCAGGAGGATATCAGTTTGGAAAGCATTGCCAACTGCGATGGTTTGCTTTGGTCAAACAAACAGACGGAGAGAAAAGTTGCACATAAGAGTGTGAATTTCTTAAAACTGAACGCTTGAACAGGCAGGCAGATCTGTGATGACGGGATGAGAAATATCGCCCGATGACTGCGGTCAAGAGAAAGTTAAGTATAAGGATGCATTCCCCATGGGTGTTTTAATTCAGCACGTCGGTCTCACAGCACATCAACAGTGATTGGTGATGCACTATGTAATCACAATACTGTGATTTCTTTCCCCCCCATACAATTAAAATACAGAGGTGATATTCACCTCTTATCATTATCACGCACTCACTCCCTCTTTCTCTTTACAAGTACAGGCCCAGAGAAGGCAGCGCACATCATGGGTAATCATCTCAAACAGGACACAGAGGGTCGCCATGGTGATCCACATCTCTAATGACAGAGGAGCTGGTGGAACCGCAGAAACAGACAGAATCTTTAAGACATATCTGACTGCCGCCGTATTTGCACATTTATCACCTCATGTTACAACATTTCTGCATGAATCGGAGGGTTGGCTGTTATCGGGCCAGCCGCTATGACGAGAGATGATAACCCTGTGCTCTGCATGTGTCACCTACATAATTTCACGGGAGAAACCCACCCGGGTTTTCAAACACACAGTCCAACATGATAAGAAAAATAATAAAATGGGAGCCGATTGATTTGCATGAATGTAATCCACCGTTAAATTTGAGAAATGCCATCATATTAAAGACCGAAAGTATGATCTCCTTCTAGACTGAGAACTCCACAGTTGGACTTGCATTACCTTTGTTTTCTACAAATCGAGGCAACAACAACAGATTGCTGCTATTTACAACACATTAATGTTGTCTTTATAAAAGAAGAAAAAAAAGAAAAAAAAATCTCCTCAGACCAAACAGGGCTGCCTGAGAGCAAATGGCTCAGCACTGGCTTGGCAGAGTCTACAAATCAAAGCATATCTTGGAAACATGCCCTGAAGGGAAAACCTCCAGACTCAGAAAGGAGGTTTCATGAACTGCATAACAACTACCAAAACCTCATGTGTGTGTTTGCATGCGTTTATATGAGCTTTTAAAATTATGTGGACAAGCAGGTAGAAAAAATAAGAGGGTGAATGTTAACATATCCAAATTCTGAGTTGTGATTTCCTAAGTTGCACCTTAACACAGACAAATCTATTTAGGAATGATATGGAGGCATTCAATTAAACATATATATATACATATGTTATATATGCTGATGCAAGTAAGCCAAACTCATTCATATCAGACTTGGAGACTAAACTTATCTAACTACATGTGGAAATCCAAGGTAATATCAACATAACCCTAACCCTTCAAATCTAGGGAAAATCCATCATTTGACCTATGATATTGCAACAATGCTTTTGTTATTGTTTGTACATATTTGTCTAACTTAATGTTTTGCCAACATTTGACACATGTTTTTATCAGCTAGTTACCCAGTATAGCTGGTTAACTGGTTAATCATTTCTCAGTTTAACAGCAGCTAATTGTCAAGAATAAAGAGACACTGAAAAAAAAAAGAAAAAAGAAAAGTAATGCACAAGTACGAATGTTCATCTTGATGATAAAACTCCAGCCAGGCTGTGAAGACTTTCATCCCATTTCAACCATTTAGGTTTAGGACTTCATATCAGCAATCGTCTTTTTGGATAAGCATTTTGTGCCTTTTGTAGCCTAATCAGTCTAACGTCAACATTTTAGCATAACAATACAAATGAAATGAAGATGTTTTGTTCAACTGCTGCGTAATTGTTTTATTTGTATCTGCCACTATTGCCAGGTTTTGAGTAAGTGCTGTTGGCAAAACAAGAAAGATGCATCATCAAACTAGTGATAAATCGAAGTCATTCTCCATAACTATTTAATTTAGTTCTTTTTTAGCATGTGTGTGTGTGTGTTGTGTTTTGATATTTCAAGGGCCATGCGAGCGCACATTGTGCGTCGTTCAAGTCAATTTCTTTGAATAAATGCCCCTTTGTACCCCGAGGAAAGAAAAGTCTCTTACTGGCACAATGCTGGGGAAAAAGGGAGGAGATGAGTTGGCCTGATGACACGACAGCGATTGATACACTGGTGCTATGGGTCATTAGCAAGAGGAGATGAAGAAAAAAGCAGGCATTCATCAGTAGAGAAGAGCAGAACCAGTAAATCAAAACGCCATGGCAGAAGTTACAGCATATGGTAAAAGGAAGTTGCCATGAATGTAGGAGAAAAAAAGAGAGCAGTCCCTCAAACAGAATAAGAAGGAGCAAACACATACTAGGTGTAAAGGTCTTTCACTTTAGCCAGCGGCCACATGGCACAGCGATAACATCAAGGTGTGACAAAGTTGTTCTTTTAATGAAGCTTATCTACGACTGCTATAGCAACACTAACAGGAACTGTCAGTCAAAAAGCTAATCAACGCTTCTGTTTGATGAAAGAGGCTAATGACATAGCAACCGGGGAGATAGTTGAAGGGCAAACTGGAAAGACAAACCCAACAGGGGAAGCTACAAACTTTGGCAGGCGTGAGACTTTCAGAGGCTTGTGACTGCACTCCAAGACTGACTGACTCTGTAATCCAAGTCCAGGGCTCTGCCACAACTGTCTCCTTTAGGCTGTCTGGGTATGGAAAAGAGTATACAGGGATCAAAACTCCATTAACACGTGAAGAATGAGGAACAACTTTATGGTTGGACCGGCAGCTTTCACATGAAGGCCTCAGTAAAAGTTTTGTGCATCTCTGGGTCTTTCAACTAAGTGATGAATATGCATCATGTAAACTAACAATTGAAATAAAGATTTTTAAATTAGAGATGTAATTTGACATAAAGCTTGCAGACGTTCAGAGGCATCATTTGCCCATTTTAGCAGGTGCATTTGGATGCTAGTTACAACTAGCTAAAATCAAAACAGGCAACAAAGCTAATAATGTTGCGTTGATGTATTGCAAAAAGTCTGTGACAATGTCATGAGGAGGTATTTCAGCAACCCGCTTTAGCTAGTCCCTGCTATAAAAGAGGTAGTGTGTTGGTTCATTGGCGCAAGTAACAGGACTTTGATGCCGAGATTCATTTTGAGGGAACACTAAACTATGTGGTTGGGATAAGACCTTGCTGTTGGGTTCAAATACACTTGCTGTACGTTAGCCAAAGTAATGCTAAAGTCTACCTAATGTGCTCCAGCAGCACACCGAATGGCCTTGACCTCAAACCTACAAGTTGGGAGTGACAACAGCCTTTATGTTCTTACATCTGGGTGCATAGTACAAGTTAAGCTGCGCTTTCGTAATAGCAAAATGGTCGCAATGATCAAAGAGGGACTTCAGGATAACCTTTATCAAGGTGTGTTCTCAGGCATTTTGCCTAATTGAATGGATCCTGTTGATGGAGCTGAAAGCCAAGCCCAGCACCCAAAAGCTAAAAGTTGGCCAGCTCGTGAAGGCCAATGTGCTGTTTGTTCAATTAAATTTGCGAGTTGACATGTGGACAGCAGCAAAAGTATCAGCAGAGCTAACATAATCCATGTACTGTAGGCTACACACTTAAACAATATTTACAGTATTCAAAGGTCAATATAGGGTGTATAGTTTGTGGTCACAGTGTAGCCACACCCAGAGTCTGCTCTGCTCTTCTCTCCTCTGCTCTCATCTTGTTGTCAGACAGATCAGTGTATTCATTAGAGCAGGACTAATTACATCACAACAATCATCCCCAGCAGTCATGATATGCACAGGCACACACACACACACACACGAGCAACCAAGTGGATGTGCTCAGAAGCCGATTAACATGCATACTTACTCATCTGCAAAACGCACACAATCAGCCGATGCTGCGAAGAGCAGTCTCATGCAAATATGATTACCATTTTGCCCTTTCTTTTTTTCCTTTTTCCTGTTGGTTTTTCCATTATGATACATTTGCCATCCTTCTGTGAACATATTCCTGGTCAACCTTACACTCACATCGAAAAATTATAGACACCACCATGGACAAATTACAGCCACTGCTACTAATTTTGATGATTAGCTTCAGTGAACATTCAAAAGTGGGGGGGAAAAAAGCAACATAAGAGGACCATCTCGTTTTGTATTCCTCACCATTGGTGCTGATTTAAATGCTAAATACAAATACAAAGAGTAGTGCCCAAAGTAACTAGCATTGAATTCCCCGAGAGCTGACGCCCATCTTGTGAAAAGGCTAAAATATTTAAATACTTGCTTTTATCTGTGGCTAAAATCTGACTTTAATTCCCTCTCTCCCCATTTTGTCTAATGGCTTTCTTAGAGCAACTGCAGCTGCAGCTGGATGAAATGCCATTGTGCCGGTTTAAAGGTATGGTAAGAATGCAAATGATCTATGTCATCAGTAGGGGCTGATTATGTTGAAGTCTACAAAACAGTAGTGAGAAAAGTGCCATTTTGATATTTATTTTGACAGATCAGTTTAGAAAAAAATGGGGTATAGTCTTAATTATTCAGAATCACTGTCAAATGTGGACAGCCTTCCAAATCCGCATGACTTATCGTAGTGACGTTTCAAACTCTGAGATCACCAGCACGCACAGCTTGTGTCGTTTCTCTCACACTGACCTCCTCTCCCAGCTGACTGTCCTGGGACCTTTCGCTGCAGCTGGTGTCCAGGTGGTCCTCATGGCTGAGCTGGTCGTCATCCGCCAAACCTCCTCCAACCAAGAAGGGTGTCAAGCAGCACCCACTGGACCGACACAAACCAGGCATCTGTTTGGGCGGATGGCCTCACTCCCTTTGCTCGAAAACCCCAGAAAAGCCAAGCTCCACTGAAACTACCACCTGAGTGGTGATATCAGGAGGGGGATAAGGCGTTGCTTTACCAACCTTTGCTACTTTCTGGGAGCTACCTGAATTTCTTGTCTCCCCTCTTCTTCAACAATCTCTCTCTGCTAGCTACATAGTTTTCTCTGCTGTACGCACCCTACCTCTGTTAATGCTCTCTTAACACCAGCAGTTCTTCAGAAAATGCAGTCCTACTTCCTCCCTCCCAAACTTCCCTTGTGAGGTAGCCACACCCCCACCACCCCAGGTGTGCTTTTCGAGACACGTCTTTAAAATGTGTCAATGTGTCTTCCCCCCCTCGCTGTCTCAGACACACACACACTCACGCAAATCCGGAGGATAAGGCGGAGCATGCAAAATAAGTTCTTCCTTTTGCAACACACACCTGAGAACGAGCGGGGGTGAGTCTTCATGTAAGAACAGGCCCACTTCCTTAAAGCTATAAATAGAACAGAGAGAACCTGTCTGGCGAGCAGAGAGCAAACACACACAGGCACACAGAAAGGGAAACGACGGCCCCGTCCAGCCTGGCAGGAATTTGAACGATTGCAGGGATGTTTCCAACTCTCATCCTCGTATAGGCGCTGTTGGTCACACCGTGATTGCACAATGTGCTCGTGTCGGCAGGCCTGTTTCCCACATTTGCATGCGGGTCACATTTCGCAAATCCCCCAATCCATATTCCTCAAACATTGAATGAAATGCAAAGTCTAGGTCATGGGAAGTCCATAAAACAATTGGGGGCCATAACTATTTAGAGCTTTCCTCATTCAGTGAATGAGACATCATGACTACGGCTCAGCTAGGGCCAGTCCCAAACCCCCCCCCCCCCATCCCTACATGACAATGCCTCCTCTGTCTTTAGTAGACAGTGCAATGGCAGTTCAAATAATAGGCTCCATTTGAAACAAAAGGCCTGAATTTCTGTGAATCACATGCAAATGGAATTAATGGTTGATATTGCCGGTCACATAACTTGTATTTAATTACGTTTTTTTTTTATCAACATGTTAACTGGATTCAAAATTCATATTTCAAAACTAAAATCTGAGAAGAGAAACAAAAAAAGCTGGAGAAATGCATGCACATGTGTGGACGTTCTATTTTTTTCTCACATTGTCAGGACCTTAGGTGGTATTATTCTGATTAATCATTTTGGGACCATGAATAGTCCTTATTGGTTCTGAAACCTAAAGGCTAAAAAAGGAGTTTGGTGATTGTGACTTTTTGCGTCAGGGCTGTGGTTGTACACAAAATAACTGAGGTCAAGAGTAGTGTCCCGGCAACAACGGCTCTGCAGTAACGAGTGTGTGAGCGTGCTCTCCGGGCTGCTTTGCAGCCTCCGCACAGTCATCAGATTGCTGTCAGTGTCACATCAGCCGCTCATCAGTCAAAGCAAATTACAGCAAGTGCTTGTGCATGTGTGTGAATGTTTTCTGCCAGTCGGTATATCATTCTGATTTAATGAGCATACACATACTGTGCCCGGCAGACTCATTCACTGACACCAGCCCGCTCTACTGCCGTCTGTCTCTTTCTGTCTCTATCCAAACTAGTTGTCATTTCATTAGTCAAGAACCAGATCACAGAGTTCCATGGCCATCAAGTAACATTGCAGCGGGTGATTGCATTCAACCCGTTACGTCACATGTTTTTGAACCGTGCTCCTGCTTGCAAATGACAACTCAGGGAAGAACATGCAAAACTTAATGTAATCATCACATATATACATGATGAAATCTAGGGATGTAGAAACTGGCAGGTAGGTTTTAAACTTAACTGTTTGTAACTGATGTCAACAAGTGAGGTAAGTGTGAGAGAAAAGAAAATTAGAAAGAAACAACTGGCAGTTAAAAAAAGCTTTTGGTTGACTTGTGCCCACCAAAATACAGCCAAAGCAACAGCTGAGCCTTTCACAAATGTCAACTAACTTGGTTCCATAACTAATGCACGCAAAGTTATCGCAGAGCAAACAGCGCTGATCACTGAATACGATAAAGGAAGGCAAAGGTCATGTTTTCATCCGATCCAGGGCCTGTGAACCGCTGCCATCTTTGGGTAAGGAGTTCACATACACTAACACTTTAAGTGCCATTACCATTCCAGTGATGTAGGAGTTGATTTTTCTCGGCAAGAACACCAACTGTATCATTTAATAGATTGCAACAAGGCAAAGGCCTCTTAAGCACCAAAGCAGCGCCGTGCACCGACCCCTTATGCCGTTTCTCAGTATGTACATCTGGGATTTCTCTCTTCAGTCCCTCTCATTATGGCTCAGTGCTTCTAATCTGAGATGCAATATCAGTTACAGTTCATACCGTGAGTGGAGAGCGCAGACACTTTTAAACAAATATCATGCTGTGGAAATGACGATAAATGGCCTGATACTTTTAAAGTGTTAGAATTGGCTGTGAATGATCATTTGACAGCAGTAACCCAAACAATGCGCACAGATTTGAATTCTGTACATTTTCCTGAAATGCTTCATTTTTATTTTCTTTCTTCCTCCATTGATTTAAAATGAAAGTTTTGACTGACAATATGTGCCAGGTAAAACTTTAATAAAAATTACTTGGTCATCATGTATCAAGTTATTGAAAACAAGAGGAACATGAAGATCCTCTTTTCCAAAAGGAACAAATAGAGACATAGCTGAACCTTTTGGGAGTAGTAGCACTGAGCACAATGTGAGAAATATCCCAACACCTACAAATCTGCTTTCTCATTCTTGTTGCCTTCGTGTTCATGTGTAACATAAATCTGCCTTTGTATTGATTTGCCACAAGCAGCTGCTTATTCATGAGTTGCTGGTAAACGGAGAAACCCCTCACATTTTCAGGTGTGTCTTTCCCAGAGCTAATAAAAAAACACAGACGCGCGCCATCTGCTGCAGACACTGAACCGCCTGACCTTTCCGAAACACGGTCATGTTTTTGCAATCATGAGGCCGCGCTGTCCCTGGATGGACATTGTTGGAATGCCAAATAAGGGGCTCGCCCGATGCCACACGCTGGGCGCTGTGGCCGCGGTTCTCCGTTCCTCCAGCAGAGGGCGGCCTGTGAAAGAGATGGGAGACACTGGAACGGCGGCACGGTGGAGGGGGAGCGCAGAAAGGGAAAACAGCATGGCAGAGGATGTATTATCGGGAAAGGGCAGAGAGGAAAATGAGAACGAGAAACCTGAAAGTGAAAACAAAGGGGAGGAGGAGGGAGAGCGGTGCAGCCATTGTGATAGATACGGCAGAATTCTGAGGCTCGCAGCTGCATGTGTTGGTTTAATAATAGAAACCTACACTGGGTTCCCAGTGAGGACATGCAAATCCCTCAACCACACAACAGGGTTTCTGGGAGGTGCCATCGCCTGCAGATTTTGGTGAAACATTTCATTCCAACTCCATGCAGCGTCATACAAGGAACAAAGGTTTCACAGCCATGTAAGCAAACCAAACATTTGTGGGTGCAATCCAATGACACGCTTTGAGCCCCGAGACGTGGAGGGAATAAAACAAAGGGGTCATCTGCAGGTAACGACTGACCCGTGTCCGTTGTTGTTAATTCCACAGATTTGTACTCTGGCGTTTGAAGCTCCCCGTGCAAAGGTATGCGTGGTTACCATGGTAACAGTCAGACTTTCAAAATCAACCTTCAGCTTGGCAATGTGACTCACGTGCACAAAACTCCTCTCGCCTGGGCATCTTCTCTCTCTATTTGTGAAACAGGAAGTAAACTAGGTTTTGTGTGTGTGTGTGTGTGTGTGTGTGTTTGTGTGTGTGTGTGTGTGTGTGTGTGTGTGTGTGTGAAAGAGAGAGAGAGATTGGTTTCTTTGAGATAACTTTCATCGTATCAAAGAGTTCAAAATAAAAAAAGGCTACTTAACACCAAAAAGCTAAAGAAAAAAGGTGAGGACGCAGATCATTTGAAAGGGGAAGAATTGCATCACCACGCATCAACAAACGGTCTAACCACACACACACACACACACACACACACACACAGTCAGTACAAGGCGTGGGTGGACTTTGCACCATGGCGACCACATCCTGTCTTATGTACCTCTGCACATTTATTAATAGACGCGCACACACACGGTGATACGTGCAAAACACCCGTGAGAGGCTAACCGATGGCTCCCGCTTGTACCTCAGATGGACAGACGGGCGGAGACATCCAGACACAACACACACGCAAATGCGCTCGAGTTAAGCCACAGTCTGCGTTTGTCTGTTGGTGGGTTTTGCGAAAATCATCCAGTGCTTGGCCTCGGGCCACAAGGTTTTTGTGCCGAACGACGTGTAATCTTGCCGCTTCTGGTTTTGGGGGAGCGAGCATACGGAACAAATCTGGATCTGATGCTGCATAATCCTCCTATACACACACACACACACACAGACTGACATCAGCACACACACAGATTGACATCAGCACACACACTCCACACATGCATTCAAGCACCCACCCCAACACACACACACAAACACATGCATGCATGAAAGATAAATGTAACAAGACAGGTGGAAGGTCTTTTAATGTGCTGGTCTGATTAGCTTGTTGTCCCTGCTGTCGATGATTTATGATGTTAATCACGTCGGTGGCTTTTCTGCACTGTTGCTGAGCCCTTGTAGTTTTTGCATCAGAAACGGACCGGTGGTGGTGGGGGGGGGGGGGGAGGAGGGGCGAGCAGGGTGGAAACAACATGATAGGAGGAGGAAGATGATGGGGTGGGGGGGGGTGATGAAATACAGGTGAGGTTGCGAAGGGAAGATAGAGATAGAGGGAAGAGGAGCCAAACAGGAGATTTGTTGGTGCACCAGCCTGCTCTTTTGTGTGTGCGTGGTGTGTCAGGAGATTATCCCCGATGATCACGCCGCGCTGTGTAATGTTGACTCCTCACACTCACAGACAAACGGCGCGTGGTGGATTTCGCTC